AACTTGACCAATACCTCATTGAGCTCCATGATTTGAATCTTGGGTGACGTGTAAAATATTGCTCCTCAGTCCATGCTCCACCTTTAAATTGTGTAGATGAGGCCATCGATTCTCTGGCATTGCCGCCATCATTGGTTGAGTCACTACTGTCCATGTCGCTGCTGTCTCTGGACCTGATGAAACTTGCACCTGGTTGTTGAGCATGCATGACTACTGGCCTGCGTATTTGGTCTTCTAACAACAACAATAATAAAAAGCTGAAATGTTCCGAACATAATTTTGCTTTTAACCGGTTGGTAATTATCATGACTATACACAATCTCTCGATGAATATTTTCTTGCAATAAATGGGCCAGTTTGTTTCCTTTTCTTTTGAAGTTCTATAGCAACTCTTTTCGAATCTGAAGTCTCTTGTAATATTGGAACATCTAAGAAATGTTCTTCATCATTCTGACATTGTACCATGCTCTGGATTTATGACAGCTTGTACTTGCACTCCAAACATTTGAGGCAAAGAGGCAACTGAGAAGCACTTCTATTCACTAATACAACATGCACCTTAATGGATGTAAAGAAGCACTTCTTGGTTGACGAGTAACTACACCAGAATGTCCAATTGCATGATGCAGTGATTGGGAGATGGTAAGAATTTTTTGGAGCTTCTCTCTCATTGATAAGGTGCTTTTTAGGCTTTCTGGTTCTCTAGTTTGATTCATTTTTTAAAGTATTTTTGACCTTTGTATATAAGCTATATCCGTATCTTATATATTCTGAAAAACATAAAATTTTGTAGACTATCAGGGGTCTGATTTTCTACTTCATGCAAGAGTGGGCAATATGCAAACCATTCTATTGCATGTTTTGGCTTTTGTCTATATGCTAATGTACATCTAAATACTGAACTGAGTGGCTGAAAGCTCTATCACATTGCTTTGTTTGGGAAAAAAAACTTTTTCTATTTTTGCTGGCATTATTCAAGATCGACATTGTAAAAGTTGTGTATCCATTCAGGTTTGTTAAATTAATTCTCTGTATTGATGTTTTTTCATCATTAAATTCCTCTTAACAGCATGCAAATCTGCGTGCAAGGGTAATATTTTCCAGAGAATCTACTATATTGTCAGAGTTTTACCTGGAGGTCATGTTTAACTTGCCTTATGCAAGTTCATTGAAAAGTATGGTTTTGAATGAGCTGCCTGAATTAGTATGAGCGTGGAATATATTTTTTCGTTAAATTTATGATCTGTGGTTCCTGATTTGTTTTCTGCGGTTGCTCTATGATTCTTCAACCCTCATTATATACTTATGATCTGCGTACTGCATGCATTCCTTACTCCCACTTAAATCTGTTCTTGGTTCAACCTTTTTATATTTTCATTGGTGTCATTTTGTTTCTCCAAGCTTTCCATTTATTTGACTTGTACTACTTCTGTCTTGTCTGTTACACAGTGGGATATCTATCTCTTATGGCGTACTTACAGTGTCATTCTGTTACCTTGTTGACTAAGCTACTTTACCTGATGTCTTTTGCATACATTGTAGAACTTTCTGTTAGTATATTGCAGCAACCATTTAGCCTATGTAACGATTAGTCTGCGATGATATGATCCAATGGCTATTCTGTCATAAAAGAAACATCGTTGTAGTTTTACATTTAGTTCAGTGTAGAATTAAGTAGGCCATGAAGGATCACGAAGAATGGGAATTGCACTTTGCTGTATCTTTTGGTATATAATGGAGCTGATTATTGGCCTTCGTTTTCTAATGAAGCCTTGCTCCATTCAGGTGTTCACTCAACTGAGTTGTTGTCTCTACTTAAATGCCACTTAAGCTACTAAGCTTTATCATTTTTCTTGGAGTTTCAGTATGCTGTTTTTATTTGCCTGATATCTCTCATTGCTAGCGTTGCTTTTTAAAGATTGCCAAAATTATGGATAATTTTTTTGAATATTTCATCTCGTTTTTCCAACTTGTCTTTTCACTGCAAACTCAATTAGTTGGCATAACTACATATTATTTGTTTAACGAGAAAGATTGACATCAGATTACTGAATTAATAGCAACCAGTGGATGACCTATGCTCTGTGCTGTTTGCTTGTAAGTTATTGAGATTAAGATACAATGTGTTGTTCACTTACTAAATCATTTTAAGAAATATTCGACAACTATTGGTTGCTAAATCTTACATCGTGCATTATGGGGGTTGCCTCATCAATTTAACCGTCGTTATCATATAACCTTGACCGTGGCAAACCTTTCCTTTTCCTTTTATTGTCTTGTTTATGATGGCAACTTTAAAGATTTGCAATGCTAATATTGTAACTTTATATTTCGAGATTGATATTATTTTGTAGTTATGTTAATTGTATTGCAACACTGATAGTGTAAAGTTACAATGTTATTACTTCCGCTCATGAACCAAATCGTATTTAGTTATGTAATGCACTCATTGTTTGTCTAGCCTTTTTTCCGTTCGGAAATTTGAAGTGGTGACTTTAGATGTATATTAAGCAGTGAACAAAGCTGCTTCCTACTGGTATGCAATATGTTATGTCTCATTAATGTCATCTGGCCTCTGAGAACTCAAATGAATTTTCTTTTCAGTCTCTTGTGCGGAAAAAAATAGGGTACAACTATGATCACTTCATTCCTAGTCTTATGTACCTTTCTTTTCCTCTGACTTTTAAGTCTCAGGAAATAGCACAGGTTTATTGACTCGATGCATTCATCACCTTGAGCTGGAACTTAATGCCGGCATTAAAATAAGAACCCAAATAGCTTTGTGCTCTAATGACCGTGCGGTGTTCAAGGATGCCTTCTTGCAAGATGGAATGTGGAAGAAAGTTGTCCCTTTAACGTGGAGCACGAAATTTTCAAACCAGATTAAC